TTCTTTTCATGTACATGTGTATATGCATTTAGATGTGTATCTGTGTGCATATATAGAATGTGTTCCACTCCATACATCAGTGGTGATTGTTGAGGATGACCTATCATTAGCACTCTTATTAAACGTGGTTTTCAAGGTTACCAATCCTCTCCACTGAATGAGATCTCAGCCCTAAATAACCAGGGTATTTCAAATACACAGATCAGTGATTTGTTTGATAAGATCAGTTTCAGCTTTCTTCCCTCTTACTGTGCTGGGATGAAGGAAATAAGGCAAAATGCTAATGTCAGTGGCAAAACTACCTTACTTAGAAGGATCGAGTAATAAAGATACTAATAGCAGTGATTCATAATAAACAGAGATGTAGCTGGAGTCTTTCTGGAGGAAGGCAGAGATGGCTGAAGTTCGTCACTTTAGAAAGTAGCTTTTCAGAAAGGTTTGAATACTATATTTGTCACAATATATGTATGTAGTGATGGGTAAGACAGAGGAATGTTTAGTGTCCCTTGGATTTCTACAACATTCAGTGAAGAGATTTTCTTAATATAGAAAGCTGTTTGGCAAGATTGCCAAGAGTCTCCATTTCACAGCCTGCCCTGGGAGGCTAGAGGCTGGGAGCTTCCCTTCCTGGTTTGGGCTTCTGTTCCATCACCTGAGAGCTAATAATAATACTTTTATGAAGCCATGGCTTGAGAAAGGGTAAGCATCTTGAAATGGATGTGTGTGCCCCATCCGAAGACTCTTGAAACTATAGACTATCAGAAATTTGCCATTTGTTATCCTAGGAACCTGGCTTTAAAAGTTGATTTTAAAATTATGTGTTTTCTGTGGTTTTGGCAATCTATTCTGGGGTAGACTGTAACGGAATTGATAAATGTTAAGTTTCATTGTTGATTAAAAGAGTTATTCCTGTATGGGAAGAATAATTGTAAGTCTTTATTTGGTGTCTATTGAAATAGAAACTTGTTCATGAAATTAGAATGCTTTTCTTTGCTTTTTGAAATAGGTATAAAAATTAATGCCTGGTCCTTCAAGTGCATGATAACAGAGCATTGCTCATTGATCATTACAGTCTGAACTCACACACAATATTGGTGGTAAATGATGATCTCGGTTTGTGTAAATCTGACGAGAATGAGTTTCATTTATTTCCCTTTTTTTTTTTTTTTTTTTTTCCCCTGCTGAAGTCAGCAAAGAGTCTTGTTAAATAGCTGTAACTACATATATCTCTTGGTAGTCATGAATTTATACTCACATCTGGCTAAAATTTTTTATCTCTGCTAAATAGGTTTGTTTCAAATTATTTACAATTTACAAGGGCATTTTTAACACTATTTACCTTGCCAAATTATCCGTAAACCAAATTTATAGAAAAGAGTTGCTGCATTTTCTGTCTGTACAGCTGCCAGAGATATGGTAGTAAACTTGGAGGATTTTTTCGGAGCTTATGTTGCAGTAAACAATCATTTTGAGACCAGGGGTGAATTAAAGTCTTCGTTATAAAAATAGGGCAATTATATACATTTGAAAAACAAAAAAAAATCATAGTTGAAAAAATCATAGTTGAGCAAGAGATGTTATGATAGAGTTTCCAAAGAAGCATAGGCTTTTAGGTGCACGTCCAATCTCTAATTGGAGATTGACTTTCACACTCAGCCTTTTCATAGCAGTTCGTAGACACTCATTACTCTCTCTCTCTTATTCCTGCTCCCTTGAGTCGCCTGTTTATACAGCCACTCTTCTGCCAGTGATTGAAGTTTGTCTTAAGAAGGCTGATATATCATCAGTACTAACCTTGGTGTTCCAAGGTAAGGATTTTGTGCAAGCAAGCACCAGAGAGAGGACCTACATGTGGTATCTGTAATTTCATTGTAGTGAAATGCATAGTTGGCTGTCTGTAAACAAAAGCTTCTCTCTGGTGAATAGATAAAAACAGCAGTGCTATTAATTTAATCCGTGCAATGAATTTACATATTGACTTCTTGAAGTAGTTGGACACCTTCCATTTGATAGAAGACAATGATAAAACTGCGGTCAAGATCATTGTACCTCAAAGTAAATATCCCTGTAAAAAGGATTGCTTTAGTTGTTTTATTTCCTCCATGGTATGTAAAGGATTGGGAATGGATCATAAAAACCAAAGGTTTAAGAAGCGTTTGGTTTTCTGGTTTTAAATTGATGATTTTTTATCTCTTCAGAATTCAGAAAAGAAAACAAAGATCAGAAACTGGAGAAAAAAATTTGCTGAGACAAACTTTCAGTGTTACTGTTTTCTAACCCCTAGTCAGTGACTATATGATGTAATTGATGAGATTAAAATATGAGAAAAGATTATTAAAATTATTCAAAGTGCTCTTACATAGCTCTGAGGAGTCTCATGTAGGCTTTTCTTCTTAAAAGAAGTTGGACGATTAAATAATATGGATTAGCTGAGAGATTTGTCTGCTGAAATATGTTTGTAATGTATGTTCATGAACAATAGAGACAAAATATTTAACTGTTGAGAGATCATGGTTTTTAAATCCTTTGGCTCTGCATTTTATTTGTTCGATACTTTCTTAATGGAATTAAAGGGGTATTTTAGGTGTGGTCTTTATGAGGCCCTGTTGTGGCTGAACTAAATGAGAATGAAGGACACAATTGTGAGAGTTGCTACAGGAGATCTGCATTCTGCTACATACTTATTAGGCTGTAAATCACACATCTTGTTCCTCCTAACATAAGGTTTAATTGAGTGAAATTCTCGGCCCAGAATGAAGTCAAGTCAGATTGGATCTTTGATAGCCTTATCACCTAAGCTGCTTCATGTATGCTTTAACTAGTGACTGCAATATCTTTGTGCATGTGCCTAGCATGGTATTAGCTGGGTCATAAAAGTTATTTGTCTTATTAATGAGTACGAGAAGAAAGAATTGTTACCAAGTAACAGAATGGATGATGTTGGAAAGAACCTCATCCAACTCACCTGTTCAAAGCAGAATCAATTAGACCAGGACCACTGGAAGAGTCTAGCTCCATCTTTTTTACCCCTCCCAGCAGATACTTAAGAACAGTGATAAGTTCCCCTTGAGGCTTCTTTTCTCCAGGATAACCAACCCTAGCTCACTCAGCCTCCCTCTCCTTGTAAGACAGACGTTGCAGTCCTTAATCACCTTCATTGGCTTATCAGTGGAACTGCTCTAGTACATCCCTATCTATTTTGTACTGGGGAGCCTGGAGCTGGACCCAGCACTCCGGATGTGGCCTTAGTAGCACTAAGCAGAGCGGAAAGATCACTTCCCTAGACCCCGCTAGCAATGCAGCCCCAGATGTCGTTGTCCTTCTTAGCCGTGAGGGCACATTGCTGGCTCATGTTCAGCTTGTTGTCCACCAGGACCCATAGGTCCTTTTCTGCAAAGCTTCTTTCAAGACTGTTGGCCCCCAAGCATGTAATGGTGCCTGGGGTTATTCCTCCCCAGGCATTTCACAGTGTTGATAAATGGGGTAGATTGAGTATTTATTTTTACTTTTTTTTTTTTTTTTTAATTAACGTTTTGATCTGAAATAGTTTCCCTATGAAAATGTTAAAATGGAACTCCCTAACACTTTCAGAATACCTGCAAGGGCTGCCATGTGAATTTTTTTTTTCCCTCTGAACATATTCTTGGGTAAAATTGCACCATCCTGCCACAAATTTCAACAGTGGACTAAAGCATATTTTGCAAAACACCTCATCACCTTTAGCAAACAATTGTTCTGATTTTTGGGATGTATTTGGTGAGTTATTTATGCAGGAGTATTGTAATTGAAATATTTCTTGCTTTTCTCCACCTGTGCAGTTTCTAAGACATAGCCACACTTTTTTACTTACTTTGAACACCTGTACGCTTTTGTTGGCTTTGTGACTAAGCTTCTGATGTTCGCATGTTTTCTGCTCTGTACTTGATCAGTAAGACTCTGTAACTGAATGTCAGCCAATGTCTACAATAAGCAGGAATTAATAAGAAGAAGTGTCACAGGATTTTGAATATTAACTCTGATGCTTAAAAAGGTCATTATTTTTAGAACAACTGGTGGTTTTGTTGATTTATCTTTAGTAAACTACATTGTTGCTCTTCAAGGAGTAGCAGAAAACTTGTGTCATATCTTTCCTCATTCTTGGTAAACAGGAAAATCAGGAAGAGGGTCTGAGGACTGTCCGTTTGGGAACATTTCTAAAAATTAGTGTGGTTTGTGAAATGTGGAAGTCAAAATGTATATAGTTAGATTTGAACCACCAAAATAAGTGGTTCAAATTCATTGGAGGTGAAGTTTATCAAAATAACTGAAGGTTGTACAAAACATTTTAAAATTTAAGGAGAATTTCAAGAGTCCAGTTTTAAAACCCACTTTGCAAACCAGAGCCTGCATTTCTTCATGTTTTCAAAATTTTTAACTAGCATGTGTAACAAATTTTTTCAGTATCAGAAGGAAATGGTAAATAAATTTTGTGAAATGGTTCTGTTTGTAGGTATGTTATTGGAATTGGATTATATGGCCTCAAAGAATGATTAAATAACTTGATTCCATTAGAAATATCATAAGGAAAATTCATTCTAGATAAAAGTGGGCAATTATTCATTGAGCCGGTTGGAGAAGGTGTCCTTAATCATGACAGAAAAAGCAGAAGCCTCTCCACTGTATACAACGCACAGAGAGTTGCTTTATGAAAAAACTTTTTGTCTCATCCAGTCTTCATTGTATTTTTATTTGAAGTTACTTAATTTAGTTTTTTCCACCCCTTGAAAATAAATGTTAATTTCCTATGGAACTGTAGTTCGGAAGTAGTGGTCCATGCTGTCTTCTGCTGATGTGGTGGTACATGTTTCCTTTTGATGTCTTCTTTTTTCTCACTAGAAATTCTCTAGAAATTGTGGGAAAAGTGGAAAAAAAGGCAATAGTAGACGAGGCTCAGGAATTTACCATGAGAAATGCAGGATATCCTTTAAGATACATAACCTCTGTGTTTGTAATTACTGCAGTGCTGCATATGATGCCGTCCTTGACAGAAATGTGGCCATTAAGAAGCTCAGCAGACCATTTCAGAACCAAACTCATGCCAAGCGAGCTTACAGGGAGTTGGTCCTCATGAAGTGTGTGAATCATAAAAATGTAAGTTTTCAACAGGTAACGGGAGAAGTGTTATGGATATTGGTTTGTTAGAAATAAAATTGTTTTGTTGTGCGGCTTTTTAAAACAGAGGAAATTAGGAGTAAATTTTGCTCAGGGGCTACAATCTTTCTGGTATTATATTCCCACATGAGAGAGTGAGGATCTTCCATGTGTGTACTTAAAGGCTATGCCAAATAGGGGTGATGCTAGTAGGGTTACGACTGTAGAAGGGGTAAGAGCAGAACACGCTCTTGTCAACTCCTTATCCAGAAATGCACAAGTGGTTGTTGGAATCCTGGCTCCATCCTCTTGTCACTGAGATTTGTTCCTCAGAAGCAGTGTCTCTTGGAATACCCATGCACAAGCGTCACTTCTTGTTCTGCACTTCATCTGAAACCTAGTCATATAAATGAATTATATAGGTTGTACAAGATGAGGGGTCGTCATGGTGAAGGTTGTTGCAAAACTGCCGAAGAAAATTAAGAACCAAAAGCACTTTTCCATTCTCATGTATCTGTGTGTAAGCTAATGTTGTGGAGCCATGGGCTCTGAAGCCTCAACACATTGTGCCATTCCTTCTAATCACAGTGTTCTTGTTGAAATAATCAACATAACCGGTTCTAGACTTTCCTTCTTCTTACACCTATTGTTCAACATTTCCTGCTTCTTACACCTACCGTATAACATTTAGGATCCATAATGAATGAAAATATCCCTACACTGCATCAAAAGAGCTATTCTACAGCTGTATGTTGTGACCATGTATCTAGTAGTTAGAACTCTCTGCCTGACACTGCATGAGCTTGCTTTTTTTGTAGTGAGATATCTAGGGTTGCCCCATTGCCTTGTCAAGGGATAATTAAATCTCAAGGATTTAAACTTCCTACAATTCCTTGATTTCTGCTGTGGTGGTGCCATACCCATGTGCCCCTTCCTTTTCATTAGGAGTTAATTTTTCAGTTTGCTACATGTTTACTCTTGCCTCAGATACTGCAATGACTCTTTATTGTAAAACATAAATGAGCTTGAAGATTGTGATGTAAGGTGACATTTGACACTTGTTCTCAGTCATAAATTCACATGGAATGAAAAAGGACTGACCTTAAATTAGCAATGAGCAGGACTTGTCCTGCTGCCCCACTTCTAGGCATTGACTTATCCTTACATTTCTGCTGTGTGGATCAGGACTGTGCCTGTCTCTTCCCTGTTGACTCAGATGGAAACTACCCTCAGTCAGAGCAATGCACAGGGCTTTGAAAATGCAGCGATGAGTGAGTAGTAGGGACAATGATGCATTCTCATTTCATGTTTTTAACGGACTGAAAAGAGCGGAGGGCAGACAGAAGGAACGATATTAATTTTAAACACAGAATTTTTTAAATTCTGCATAAGAGCTGGTAAGAGCATCACAGTGCTTGGGTCAGAGTTTTAATCTGTCTGTACAGAGAAGTGGAAAGGAAGGAAAGGACTGTAAAGGCACCTGTGTGGAGGCACCAATCAGTCAGAATATGTGGAGTGGACAGAAAGAATATTGAACCATTCCTGTTAGAAAAGCCTAGAGAGTTGATGGAGGTGGGGAGGGAGACGTTCAGATGTTGTCTTCATGGTGATATCACGCTGATGTATCTTCTCCTTGTGTTGTCCACATGGATGGAAATCACAGTAAGTTCGAGTCCCTGAGGTCATGTTTTCCCTCCATGCTCTTTAGGAGTTGCAGTATGCAAGATGTCTTTGCCCAGAACGTATCTACCATTTTAAACTGCTTCTACTAAAAAGTGGTGCCTCTCATGACGGAATTGTGTCAGAGTGTGTGTGTATGTGCCCTCAAAGGAATTGAGGCCATGTCAGAGAGAAGGAAGGTCCTTAATAATAAGATGGTACTTGATTATTTGTCCCTTCAGATGATCGTTCTTCATTATTATGATAAATTTCTGGCTGTAGCACAAGGATTCTGCTATGCTAGATTGAGCCTGAAGATGGTCTTTAAACATATAACTTCAAAATTCAGAACAGTCTCACCCTCAGTATTTTCTTTTGTCATTGATCAACACTATCCTTCCTTCAGAAACCATTTCAAGTGCATCTAGAAGAAATCTTAGAGATCTGTGGTATTTTATTTTGAATGTTGTCGACTTTTTACTGATCATAAAGTGAGAAGTGTTAGTATAAATTGAGCAACGAAAAAACAGAGTTTATCCTTTAACACACACTCGAAACATGTTCAACTGCTTACATTTATCACTTATTTTCATCCTTTTCTCTTACTTTTATTTTCAGATTATCAGTTTATTAAATGTCTTCACACCGCAGAAATCTCTGGAGGAGTTCCAGGATGTGTAAGTAACACAGACAGTGATTAAAGTAAAGCTTTAGAGATGGCGGGGGGAGGGGGCATTGTAGTGTACCTTGAACACAGTAACTCAGCAAAATACAAAGGTTATAAGCCTCTCTAAAAAAAGATCATATGTAGTCTACAACGTGGGTAGGCAGGTATTCTGCATTCCCATATTGAGAGCGCTTGTGACACTTAGAAGGTGTCAAATACCAGGTTTCCTAAGTGCTGTAATAGTGTGCGCGTTCTGCTGGTGTCTCGTCTTCGGAGGGTTAGTGTGTTTGCATTTGCCTTCACATGCAGAGGAAGGGGTTTGAGTAGTTAAAAGGGCCTCCTTTTGTGTTACTAGTCTGCTTGTCAAATGATGGTTGTTATGTGACTCCCTGATGTGTCTGAGGTTTTGAATTGCAGTGCTTCATTCAGAAATAATTTCCCGTAAGACTTCTGTGAAACATTTCCTCATTTCATATTTGTTTTGATACAACCTTTAACTGAGTAGAATTACTTGTCTGGGGAACAAGTGCTAGGTGTAGAGGACAACTAGCATCTCCGCTGAACACTGCTGTGTTGCACAAGCACTATTGTGTGTAGCATGAACCCTCACTGACTGAAATTTTAAATCCTCAGTGTTTTATATACTTGTACTCTTTTTATATTTCAGTCTTTCCCATATTCCGTATATGTTGGAATTTCCATATGTATGGAAATGTCTTCCCATTCGGTACTCTAATATCAGTAATGATAACAGATAGCAATGGCTGAAGTCAGTCAACTACTGTTCTGGTTGTGGGATTTCTGCAGAATATTGTCACTGCAGACTTGTGCAGAGCAGAGGAGGTAACTAGTGCTGGAGAGAAGACAAGGCACGCAGCTCACATTGAAATGGACAGCTAAGTGTTTTCCCCAGAGACTGAGAGTGCTTTAAAGTAATGTTACAATTATCAATCAGCTGTGCTTGTGAGATATCTCATAAGAAATGAGCCCGTGAGTTTAACATATTAACTTACTGCTAAAGGGGACTGGCTTAACATCCTGCTGAGGTTGTCAGTGAAGCTTGCTTATCAGAAGCACAAGATCAAATAGTTGTAATGAGAATTGTGTGAAGTCATACAATCTTAGGAGCATTTTTGAAGACATTTGGCATGGGGATGCATATTTTAGCTTCTCAGACATCTCTACTGCTCTCCAATTCCTACATGTAGCTGTTCCCCAGAATGGTCAAAGGTCAAACAGTCATGTCATTCGGTGCTTGTGGCTCTTCTGCTTTCTGCACATTTCAGTGTCATGCTTCCTGTTTGCCCATGTAGGGTACAGTCTCTGTCATGGGGAATGCACCAAGAAAAGGCCAGCAATCCACCTGTTTTGCTGGAATGCTTAAAGAATAGTGTTTCTGCAATGAGATGGTGCCGTGAGAAACAGACACCACAATGGCACCATTGTGAGTGCACCCAGTCTTCAGCTGCATTACTCCCAGTCAGCAGAAATAAAGTGAATTTTGAAGCAAGAAGAGACATTGTTTCTTCTTTGAAATGATGCCATGGTTCCTCTTCAACACAGACAATAACCCTATGACTTTGCTTTTTCATTCAGTTACCTGGTAATGGAGTTAATGGATGCCAATCTGTGCCAGGTCATTCAGATGGAGCTAGACCATGAGCGAATGTCTTATCTACTGTACCAAATGCTCTGTGGTATCAAGCATCTTCACTCTGCAGGAATTATTCACAGGGTAAGGGGCCTTTGGTTTAAAACTTAAGGCAGCATATGACATCAGCATGAAGACTTTAGAAGCCACTTGAGTTTCTTGTATACTGTGGATCAAAGCCCTATCTCGCAGTAAAATGGCTATAAACTTACAAGTCATAGTCAATCCCCTTAGCAGAGTAGCTTCATGCTTGTGTTAGGAATGAGATTATTTGTGAACTAATCAGACACAAAGGTTATGTGATTATTAAAAATAAATAAATAACAAACAGGTAATAAGCACTGGAAATCATCAGAGTGATTATGATCTCTGAAACATGTAGATAGATGTTATTTCTCCTGAAAATGCAGCTGGCTACATCTACCACGCATGACATTGAAACACTGTGAATCGAGGTTGAAGAGTGGTCCAGAATCCACTGAGGTCAGGGCGTATGGAACTGGAATTTGCCATCATTTACATGTGCTAAATCAAATTAAAAGACGGCTAAATCTCTATTAGACATCCTCCCATTTTGCTTTTCCATGTCAGAGCGCTGTGTCTGGTAAGGATGCGGTACCTGGCTGTGAATGCCAAAGGTAGCACTGTGTGATTGTTGACAACAGGAGGAGTCATTCGTGTGACTGTGAGCAGGAGGCAATTCTGAATGGATTGAAAATATCCTGAATTAACATCTTTATTGAACTGTGCTTTTACTAATTTGGGATTTCCAGCTGGGGGAAAAAAAAAAAAAAAAAGTTTCCCTTCTGTTATGAAAGGAAGAAAAGAAGGGCTGATAAAATAAAAGTCGATGTTGCTTTACAATATACAAAGGTCTTATTTCTTGGCATGTTGTATGTTTAGCAAAGTATGATAGATTTGGCTTCCAGATAGTCATCCAGCAGAGGATGAGTTGAATTATTATAAATGAAGCATTAAGATACCTCGACACGTACGGTTGGAATGTCCCTATTAGGCTCACAGCATTAAAAAATATATAGACTCAAAATGGTACTCTAATACTAATCTTAGTTTCTTGAACTGCTAAATGCAATTTTTGGCACCAATAGGCTTGTGCTATCCAGGTAAAGCCCCACAGTATGCCAAGCTACCACATCTTCCAGATGAGTTTGTTAGAGAATAGTAGCAAGGTTTTGCTGTGTATTTACAAGTATTTCTGATAGTAACTGTAGGTGTCAGAAGAGTCCATATCACAGCTGTGCCTGGCTTTATGAAAAACAGTCATGTATTTTCACTATCTTTTGCAGGATTTAAAACCAAGTAATATTGTGGTAAAATCTGACTGCACGTTGAAGATTTTGGATTTTGGACTGGCCAGGACTGCAGGCACTAGCTTCATGATGACTCCATATGTGGTGACACGTTACTACAGAGCACCAGAGGTCATCTTGGGAATGGGCTACAAGGAGAACGGTAGGGCTGCAATTTCATGGCAAGTACAGTGTGACCTGAAGTGTAAGGTCTGCCTCTACAACTGTAAGGGGCACCAGAAGGAGAAGAGGAAAAGCATAACAGGAAATGACATCTTAAATTTAAAAGGCAGGTCGTTTAGAGCGGTTTATCACTTGGGTACTGCAGCTACAGAATATATTTGGGATGCAGTACTGGTGAATTTATTGGTGTAGGATTGCCAAGTAATGAGAAATTTGGTCTTAGTTACGGTTGAACTGATCAAATACAATTAGCTCTTTCTGACCAGAATGTCTTTGTCTCCTGTGGCTGTGGAAGAGTGTGGGAACCACTGGAATTGCTGAATGTGTTCTAAATGTGAGTCTGGGCCTCTGAATTGTTTGAGGGAAGAAGAAGAGGTACAAGCTGAAATAGATAATCTTAGTCCTTCCAGAATTTCTCCAAATCCAGAGCTAGATCTGAATTTCAGGAATGGTTTCTGTCTTTATGATGTTTACCTGAAGTCCCAGGTTTTGCTGACAGGTTTCATGTGGCCAAGATCTAGGTATAAATTTTGCAACTTGAGTCTTTTTTTAATGGAAGGTCGAGTTGGAGAGAAGAGGAAAAAGCTGAAGCTAAAAAAACATGCATCTTATATGAGTGTAATCTCCCTAGATGTAAATAGGATTTTTGCTCTGAACAGTCTGTGAGGGATTGGATACCTGTTGGTCCTTGGAAAGATTGTGAAAAGCAGGTGGGGGGTGCTCACTATAGAGAAGCAGGTAAGGAAGAATTCACATTTTTTGGGGGATGAAGGGAAAACTTTATAAGTGATTCTCATTTTGTAACAAAACTGGGGACTGCATCTGAGTGCCAGGTAGACCAGGCAGAAAAGGAGGGAATACAACATATAGTGGAGAAAAATCTGCTGTGACTCAGATTCTGCTGTCAAAAGCTACCACTTGTCTGTTTGACATGAAAGTTTGACAACTTTCCGATGACAAATACAGCAAACATCAAAATCAGGAATTTATTAAAAACTCTCCTGCTCAATTTACTTTGAAGAGATTAGCTAACCTGTAGGAGAACTTATACTAACAGCCAACTGCATCCTGTAAAGGGCAGTGAAACTGATTTTGGGAGCCAATTCCATGTCTTAAGCATGAATAAAGGCATGTTCACACAATCTCTTCCAAAATTAACAAGTTTCTGCATGAATTATTTGAATTTACAGTACATTTTTTAATATGAAAGTCTAAAAAGCAAAACATTAAGCAAAATCTAAGCATGCAGAATAGTTTCTGGAAAATGAGTAAACTCCTTGAAGTAATTTATCATTTATATTTTTGATAGGTGCCTTTAGAAATCTGAACTACACTCAGCACATTTTAGATAGTTCCTTAGTCAATACTCAGAGTTCCTTCTATTGAGAAATGAATTATTTTGAGTTTATTTTTTTTTTCTCTCCAGACATTTAGTAGATGATTACTATTGTTGTTATTGTCCCTGAAAGGACAGAGAAAGCACTTGCTTTTCACATGATTAGAATCGCACCAAGAAAAAGTTAGACACACTTTTGTGATGAAGTACACGGCTGGGAAGGTACTAAGACTGTTTGCCACATCCAAAAGTCCTGATCAAATGCCCATTGAAGTTAACATGGAGACTTCCTTTGACTTCCCTGGGCAATGAATCTGGCTCAAGATGAATGCTCTCATCTTACTTGTACAAAGCGAAAATCAAATAAACAGAGAAAGAAAACAAAATATTCGAAAATGAAGGTCAGCTGTCTGAGGAGCTGGTCTGCTTGGAGGCTCTAATCCAGCTCCCAAGGAAGTCAACAGAAAGGCTTGTTCTTCGCTTCCCTGCTCTGGCCTATGCCATTACTGAAGCTCCCCTAGTATTTTTTTCCTCTTACTCTGTACACTGCCTGTATAAGGACTGTTCACTGCTTTCATTTTCTTTCTGCACTTGGTTGGCTAAAGATGCATAATTATCACCAGTTTGCTGCACTTCTGTGGAAGGACCCAAAACTGTCACTATGAAGAAAACTCTGCCACTGCCTCAGGCATGCTTTTGCTGTCCCATGCCCCTGACACCTGTACCCTCCTTTTCCCAAATGGAACATTTCACCTTTATTTTGTTTTTACCAAGAAATGAGTTGTTTGTTTCTCTAGTTTGTTTTGGATTGTTTTTGAAGGATAAAAAGGGGGAAGAAAAAGAGGAGAAACCAGTTGTGTAGGTCAAACATGACCACAAAATGAGGATTCAAAACTGAGGAACGTGTAGTCTTTTAAAGCATTTGAAAGCAGGTTTTTTTCCCCTTTACATGGAATATGGGTCTTTTCTTTCTGTGCATGCTGTGTCACTACCTGTCTAGCCTTTTTGCTTGTAAGACTTAAAGAGAAAAAAAAAACCCACAACCCCACCCCAGTCAAGCAGCTAACATAACTATGCATATTGCATCTAAAAGGTGAAGGCAGGATCAGAAAGATGAGAAATCCTCTTAGTCTTGTTGGTACTTGTCCTGCAGAGTGTTTGTTTTAGCATTTATTTTGAGTACCTATACAGTAAAAATCAGAGTCCACACAGGTCAAACTCTCCAGTTCTTTCCAGTCTGTACACAGGTACGGACAGATACGTAGAGATAGGTGCCTCGAGATCAGACAGATCCTGAAGCAGGAGTTTTAAATAACCCTTAAGGGTGGTATTTATCCATAGAGCCTTTACTCGTGTGAGCAGTTCCATTTGGAACCTCTTGTATACTGCTGCAGCGATTCAGTCCTGCAGGCCTGGCTGCAGGTGGGATTTACTCCAGATGATCGTTGTCTGGGTTTGGGATTTTTTTTTTCTTTTTTCTTTTTTCTTTTTTTTTTTTAAATTGTTTTCACCATAAACTCAGTGTATACCATGGGTCTCTGCACTTGATCTTTACTTCCTAGCTGTGGGCCTTTTCCTAAAAATGTTGATTTTCCACCATTGTAACTAACTACTGTTGAGCTCACTGACACAGCTTTTACTTATTTAACTTTTAGTGAGACATGAAAAAAAAAACCCAACAAAACCACAAAACAAACTGAACTGTTCTGATCAACCTGCTCTTTTTCCCCTCCTTTAGGAGTGAAATGTCGTAGTTAACTTTGCTTTTTTTTCCTCCTTCTTCACTTCCCTGTCTCTGCTGTTCTAGTGGATATATGGTCTGTGGGATGCATTATGGGAGAAATGGTTCGCCACAAAATCCTCTTTCCAGGAAGGGACTGTATCCTTGTGCCATTTGCTGCAGCTTCACCTATTATTTGTTCCTCTCCTCCACCCCATACCTTTTACCATATAATGACTATACCAGGACTGTAAAGATAAAAGCAAAAAGTCGAATCCCAGAGGTATGAGTAAATGAAAACAGCACACTACTAATATGAACAAAATTTAAATGAAAAACAGATGCACAGAATTATTATTAGTCAAATAAGCTACTTTATTTTAAAACCTCTAATAATTCAATTTTATGTAGTCTTTATGTCATACTACTAAGCAATATAGAAAACAGGCATCATGATTGCAAATTGGAGAGCTTTACTTATTCTTCAAAGGAAAACTTAGAAAAAAAAAAGTCCTAACTTGGCCCATCTGGTTCCTGTAAATCTGTTTTTTTACTTTTACATTTTGGAAATAGTGACTTCATAACATTTGTGGTGACATCATAATCTTTTGCTTGCTAATGCATCATGGATTCGGATTCATCTCAATGCTGTATGGGCTCAGACTTGAGTCAATACAACATCTTTTTTCTTTAAAACAAAATGAAGAATTTGACTCACCCAGTTTAAGGCAACCATTTATCTTCTGTGGTTTCCAAATTGGCCTGCAATCAGATTCTCTTGATTTTAAAATGGACTTTCCTTTACTTGCATGAGGTCTGTGTCATTAATTAAACTGTATTTCCCTCTCATCTTGTTCTTCTTGTCTTGGGTGATATTATTTTTACCACTTCCAAGGTGGTGAAAGCAATATTAGAAAATGAAAACAAAAGAGGAGGTGTCTACTCAGCCTTTGGTTTATCACAGGTTAAACCAGGCAACCTGCCCGCAATGGCTGGGAAGTGTAAGTAGTGTGTATTTTACCCATCCAAATAAAATGCAGCAACATAGCATGTTTTCCACTCTCAGAAACAAAAAGGCGTATTATTTTCAGCAGGTTGGCAGAAAGACACCATAAAAATCTGGCATCAGCAGACACTGGCAGTTGGTGTGGAGAAAACCCAGCTTTTACAGACATGTAGTCATGGAAGTAATAATTTTTTTGCTGACTCTTGAGTGATTCCTGTAGTGTTTATCAGAGTCAGGTCCTGACTGTCCTATTTTCACAGCTCTGTCAACTCTCTGAAAACAGAGCTCTTTCTGGTAGCCAGGTGAAGATGCAGTTATATTTTACTAACACATAGATGGGGAAACTGTAGGTACCTCTTGTTTGCTGAGGAGGAAACAGCAACATTGTACTGGTTTCCAGTCTTACAGGAATATGGACTGGAAACTGGTCGGATGGAAAACACGACAAGGAAGTAAGAACGGTGGGATGTTGTTATTAGTGGATAGCTTTGAGATTTCACTCCATAGGCGCTGAGATTTTTCCTGCAACAGGTGGAGTAGGCTACACACCCACCTTTTGCTGTAATCTGAATAGCCAGAGCAGCTTCCAACATTCATGAGACCTGTAATTCAGTATGATCCTCATGCCGTGTTTCAGTGGTAACAACACCTCAGAAACACCATCATAACTCTTCCTCCAAATATTGTGCTCTTCTCCTTTTTCTTTTTTCTTTTAATGTACAAGAAACATTTAAATAATCTGCAGCATACTTGAGGTTCAGTTGTAAATACTGAGGAAATTTCTGTCTAATCTATTTGGAGAGAAGTCTGATTGAGTTTTTAATTGATTAGTAACTAGAATACAGAAAAAAGCTATTTCAGTGTAAAAATGTAGCACCATGGCTAGTAGGTTGCTCTCCTTTTTCACCAACAAATGATATTTAAGAGTCATATTCTACTGCCTATTTCCAGGAAAAAAAAAAAAAAAAAAAAAAAAAAAAAAAGCGCACTATATCATTTAAATAGCATAGCTTTTAAGAAAATCATTCAAACATGAGAATTACTTTGTTTCTGTCTGGCTGTGACAACAATACCTTACGACATGTCTTATTCAGGGATAGCAGCAGAACATTTTAAAAATACCTTTTAACATTTCAGTATCAGTTAAAAATAGCAACTGATTTTTTGAACGGATGCAGAAAAAATTGTGTAAATTGTAGGATAGTCCCACTTTTTAAACCATTGGAAATCCCATACCCTGAAATGTACTGTGTGTGGGCTAGGTCATAACTGCTACCGTGTTTTAGTGGAGGGTTTATTCAGGTGAGTTAGAAGCTTAAAAAAAAAAGAAAAAGAAAACCAAAAAGGAATCTGTACATTCATTTCCAAGTCAATACTCATTTATTAACCTGTTTGACCCCATGAATAAGAGATTTTTAGTGTTAGAAAGACTGTTTTTTGCACAGGTCCATTTTCTTTCCCTTCCCTCCATGGCTGTTGAAGAGCAGATTTAGTTTGCCTCCTAGATACAGGAAGAGCTGGAGAAGCATTTATGCAGTTGCAGGTAAACTTCACAGAATATTACAATAAAGCTTCCCTCAGGCTACTTAAGGCCTTCCAGCAGTGGGTTTTCTAGCTGAAACAGGCAAATCTGTCTAGAAAATAAAAGTTTCAGTTCTTTTAATTATTCAGAAGAATGTCTACTGTGTGCTCTTGCTATCATTATAAGGACCTTACTCGTTTCTAGCCTGGTGTAAGACCATTCATGTACGTCACAACATACGTGTAAGAAAAATTTCACAGCTGCTGCCAAGTTTTATGGAAAGAAAAAAATTTTAAAGTTAATCTTAACTAAACCATTGCACCAAATTATCATTGCACATAGGTCCTGCTGACTTTAAATGAAATTTCATTTTTAAAGTCTTCATGGAAATTAAAACATGGAGAAGATTCATTTGAGATCATGTCATCTACATAAATAAGAAACTCTTTCTACGTTACTATGAGAAAACTCTGAAATCTGTATAGATTACAGGTACCAGCATATGATAACTGTCCAGGTTAGTATAAATGTAAGTTATGCAAATTTTTTAAAAAAGGAAAGATTTCTTAACTTTATTAAAATGGTCTCTGAACACATATTAATTTAACTGCTATTTTCATTAGCAAAAAGCCGGACAGTACTTGAAAATGATTGCTCTGTGAATATTGCTGAGGTATTTAGTCTAACTGACCTAGTAGGGCACTTGAGATACAACAGGGCTAGAGAATTTCTCCATTCAAGAGCTGTCAGTTTGTGATGAGCCAGTTGGTTTTCAGAAAAATAAGAACACCCTCAAGCCTCCTGGAGAGTACTGGGTAGAAATTCCATAGCAAATACGGTTGTTCCTTGTACCTCACCTAAGCAGTCATTTCAGAATACTGCCAGGGAGACTTCGTTGTCAGGTCAGACCCTCATGAGAAGAAATCCACCTTTTGATCGATTTCCAGAGAGATTCCCAGACCAAAACATGCCTGGCAATTTCTGTAAGATTTTGTAGTCCACTTCTGAGCTTCTCGCTCAGTGATTCTTCAATGCTTTATTCCACTCATCTCAGTTAAATCAGAAAGAGTATGAACAACTAAAAACTGCCCAGACTCTTGAATGCCATTTGAAATATAATGGAAAACTCCATGACTTTCCCCAGAGTTGTATTCAACTCTACCTAATAATGCCTTCAAAATCTCGTAAGATTTCAATTTAAGGATGGGGAATGTGTTTCTGTGTAATTTGTTTTAAGAGAAGGGAGAATAGTCTGAATGCCTTGGAGTGAGATAGATTTGTTAGGATCTGAGCTGCTGAGGCCACCGTGATGTCCCACAGGCACACATGACTTAGTGGGGAAATAAAGCAAATCAAAGAGCATTTCTCTTCAGTAGTGGGGAGGCATGCAAAGGATGGTACTTTATCTAGCAAGTTCATGTGTGAGTCCTTCGGCAGATCAAAGGGGAAACAGTGGTTTAGTCATAGGGATATATTGTGATAACACCCAAGTGGCTTAAATTTGGAGGCCTGGATTACAGTGGTGAATATGGAAAACAGAGTTCCTACTGCAAACAGCTTAGAGTCTAAGACAGTCAAAAGAGAAAATACCATTAAGATAGCAAGAGAGGAAAAAACCCAAACTTATACTGTGTAGCTATGAGCATCCAAAATGTATTGTGAAGAGAAATCAGCATTAACAGATGAAGTTAATGTTTTCTGTGGCCAGATTTTCAAAAATTCCTTTGACTGCCAGCTGTCTTTGAGAGCAGTGAGATTAAAAGCTGCTCTTTAACATCTGACAGAGTATTTTATTGTATTTTCCCATGAATTTATATGGAAAAAAATTGCTTGCCTTAGGGAAAAAATTTTGAATCAAGAAAGTCTTTTAGGAAAAGATGTTGCCTTTCCATCACTCATTAGCAGAATTTACCTTTGCATTTGAAATATGATCTCTGTATATCAGTGGATATAATCCTAGTGTTCTGGGTTTTTTTTTAAACTTCAGTATAACAAAACATCTGCACTTTTTCTTTTGTGTAGCTGTTGTTTCTCATGTTCTCAGTAGCCTTTTCTTAAGGCTTGTTTTGTCTTTGAGAAAACCAAAGCCAAAACCAACAGTTAGCATCAGGATTATTTTAAGAGACTGTTAAAAATGGCTGGTCTGTCAGTCCAGGTTGGGTCAGCTGGTACACATTAGCCTACTGGTTAAGTGTCTGTTAACTACAATGGCATTGACGGCTAAGTTTGGATTTTGTTCAACTGGATGATTCCTCCCTATATATACAGTATTTGGTTCGAGACTCACGATATTTCTGAGAATATAGTAAGTGTTTGAGTTATGATGATTTTATTGGGGGAGGTCTGTCTCAAAGAGACTTCAGTGTAGCTGTGAAGATGGTTTGGCTGTTGCCGTTCTTCTCTTTCTTTTTTAGTTCAGGCCTAGTGCAATTTGCGCTTAGTATAAGAGTTCCATCCTGTCTGTGATGTGTGTGGTGTTTGGAGTGGATCCCAGCTGCTACAATGAAGATGATCCATTGCTCATTTCCCAACACTCACCTTAAAGATTTTCAGCATGGGTCTGAATGTGCAGTTTCAAAAGCGGCCAAGTGTTGAGGTGTAGATATGTGCTACACCTACTGTTGCCTCATA